AATATGGATACTTTCTTAACCATTAACTGATGTACACAAATATGACGACAATCATGTGATCTTGGCTCCCACTTTTGAGCCTTGCTGATCGTCGCAGACAGATAAATAAACGTTTAATTGCTTTTTGAAAGCCTAGTTAAGCTGGTCTTACTCTGGATGCAGTTTTTAAACCAGTTGCTGGGGTGGCAGAAGCACTGGTGGGATATTAGTGGCTAAGATCTGAGTTTTGTAACATCTCAAGTGGAGTGCCGCAGGGTTCCATTCTCGGAACTGTTATTTATTTTGTATGTGAACGATTTGGTAAATGTATCAGATCTTTTTGGATGTGTTCTATTTGCTGATGATACAACATTCTTTTGTTCCGGTAATGATTTTGAACAAATGTTGGACAAGATACAGACAGAATTTATAAAAATACAAAGTTGGTTTCAACTAAATAAATTATCATTAAACTTGGACAAGACAAATTATATGATTTTCTTTAACAATAAGAGAACTGTAGATGTTTTATTTAAAATTGATGATGTAGAGATCTGTAGAGTCAGTGAAGTGAAGTTTCTAGGTGTCATTGGTGAAAAACTGACATGGAAAAGTCATATAAATGGTTTAAGAACAAAAAAAGCCAAATCAATCGGAGTCCTGTATAAAGTTAGAGAACTGTTCAATGATAAAGCACTGTTTATGTTGTGTAACGCTATAATTGTTCCACATTTAATTTACTGTATTGAAGTCTGGGGAGTTCGTCCAACCTGTCTACATGTGTTTTGTGGACTTGGAGAAGSCGTTCGACCGTGTCCCAAGGGGGGCCTTGTTGGGGGTTCTCCGGGAGTATGGGGTACCGGGCCACTTGATACGGGCTGTCAGGTCCTTGTACGACCGGTGTCAGAGTCTGGTCCACATTGCCGGCAGTAAGTCGGGCTCGTTTCCGGTGAGAGTTGGACTCCGCCAAGGCTGCCCTTTGTCACCGATTCTGTTCATTACTTTCATGGACAGAATTTCTAGGAGCAGCCGAGGTGTTGAGGGGATCTGTTTTGGTGGTCTTAGGATCACATCTCTGCTTTTTGTGGATGATGTGGTCCTGTTGGCTTCATCGGAACGAGATCTGCAGCTCTCGCTGGAGCGGTTCGCGGCTGAGTGCGAAGCGGCCGGGATGAGGCTCAGTGCCTCCAAATCCGAGGCCATGGTCTTGAGCCGGAAAAGGGCAGAGTGCCTTCTCCGGGTCAGGGGGGTCGCCCTGTCTCAAGTGGAGGAGTTTAAGTATCTGGGGATCTTGTTCACGAATGGGGGAAGAACGGAGCGGGAGATCGACAGGCGGATTGGCGCAGCGTCTGCTGTAAAGCGGGCGCTGTACCGGTCCGTCGTGGTGAAGAGAGAGCTGAGTCAGAAAGCGAAGCTCTCGATTTACCGGTCGATCTACGTTCCTACCCTCATCTATGGTCATGAGCTTTGGGTCATGACCGAAAGAACGAGGTCCCGGATACAAGCGGCCGAAATGGGTTTCCTCCGCAGGGTGGCTGGGCTCTCCCTTAGAGATAGGGTGAGAAGCTCGGTCATCCAGGAGGGACTCAGAGTAGAGCCGCTGCTCCTCCACGTCGAGAGGAGCCAGTTGAGGTGGCTCGGGCATCTGGTAAGGATGCCTCCTGGACGCCTCCCTGGTGAGGTGTTCCGGGCACGTCCCACCGGGAGGAGGCCCCGAGGAAGACCCAGGACACGCTGGAGGGACTATGTCTCTCGGCTGGCCTGGGAACGCCTTGGGGTTCCCCCGGAGGAGCTGGAAGAAGTGGCTGGGGAGAGGGAGGTCTGGGCCTCCCTTCTGAAGCTGCTGCCCAGAGTAGAGTCGCTGCTCTACTCTGAGTCTAGTCGATATTATAAGATTTATTCTTCTTCTGCTGCCTTTCATTTTATTTGATTTTATTTGGATTGCATGATTTTTTTGTACTTTGTTAATCTGTGTTACAAATGAAATGAATAAAGGACTACTACTACTACTACTACTACTACTACTACTACTACTACTACTACTACTACTACTACTACTACTACTCCTACTCGTACTAATGTGGGTGTGATTTGTGAATTGTCGACACAGAAGGGAGTCAGGTTGTGTGACTGTGAGGTGGAGCCTCTGACTGTATAAAGAGTTGAGATGCAGTTTCTCGAACTCGTAGCTCATCTTATGGTTTCACTCAGACAGATGCTCATCAGGTTGATTTCAGACCTTTTCCAGGTTGCAGCTGAGTCTGGTGACTGAGTGGTGTTCAAAGCGAGACCTTTGACAATAATCCCCTTTCTTGTATCTGACTCTTCCTTAACCTGCCAGGATGAGCCTGGAATATGTGCCAGATTATTTCAGGCTGAACCGACAGCTGCATCTTATCAGCCCACACCAACAAACAGTGTGAAAATGTATCCACCCTGCTGTTAAAAGTCTGCAGAGATCATGTGATTTCAAGCTTTGGGGAATCATCTCCTCAGGGCTGTTTGCCTCACAGACCTAGTCTTTTTATTTATGTCAGAGGCCACAAAGACAGTGGGTGAGAGGAGACGAACCCAAACAATCTGACCCAAATCTGGAATGTGTTAGAAAGACTGGAAGTGGATCTGTTTGAGCAGACCACCCTGAGACCACCTCCCAAAGCCTTATCCCTCCGACAGAAACTTCCAGAACAGAGGCATGGATCTTTTTAAGTCCAGGCATGGTGCAATATGCAGAGATGGCTCAGCTGATTAAAATAAAACCCACCTGGACAGTCTCAGAGTGAGGAAGCTCACACACACAGGTTTGATTTATATCCCTGTGGGGACCGTGGATTGACTTTCATTCATTTTCTGGTAATTTTATATCCCAACCCTGACCATTAAACCTAAAACTAACCTCACAGGTACCTACCTGACCCTAAACTAACCTCACAGGTACCTACCTGACCCTAAACTAATCTCACAGGTACCTACCTGACCCTAAACTAACCTACCTGACCCTAAACTAACCTCACAGGTACCTACCTGACCCTAAACTAATCTCACAGGTACCTACCTGACCCTAAACTAACCTACCTGACCCTAAACT